GCCTTTGGCTAAAACTGCTACATCATCATAACTACTACGTAGCTCAGATATAGTGCCAGCTTTGGAACAAGTCAGACCTGGTTTTAAATCTTTCTCAAGTAACATATTCGGTCTTCTCCACACTCAATTAAACTCACCGTCACTGAGTTGATTCTAACTCATAGTGACCTTGGAGGGCAGGGCAGAACTGCCCCTGTGGTTTTCTGAGGCTGTAACTCAGTACAGTGGAAAGCCTTGGCTTTCTCCCAAGGATGGGCTGGTAGTTTCGAACCGCTGACCTGGTGATTTGCAACCCAACATGTAACCACTATGCCATCAGGGATCCTCTATGGTACGAGAGCGCCTAAGAGCTTTACTTTTCTCTTGTGAAAAATGTGAACAGTAACATCTAGCCCATAGGCCTGTTATGGAAAATACAAATCACAAACAGGTAGTGCCCGACGCATTGATGGCTCATAAAAAATAACTCCAATTAGATTATAATTATGTGTGTGCAGGTCTCATCTTACCTCCTTGAGATGAGGTCTGGTGCCTAATTTATCTTATCTCTTACCCTTGCCTTAATAAACCTTGTTCAGTGAATGAACCGCCATGGCATTCTTATCCGTATCCTTTAAGAGCACTTGTCAGAGTCTATTAATAACAGCTCCTAGTTGTAGATGCCTAACCATTCACTCGGTCCTTTCACATGCATGATCTCATTCCAGCTCTCCCAGAGCCATGTGAGGTCAGGACTATCATTACCCCCTTATACAGAGGGGCACGAGGCTCAGAGGTGAAGAAGCTCCAGGACTTGTATGGAACACAGTGATTGACCCGGAGCGAGGGCCAGAATTTGAACCCACAGTTGCCTCTGGAGCCCAGGTTCCAATCCATCTTTTGAGCCCCCACAAACTGGCATGCATGCTTGTGCTTGGCCAGGGGAGGGGAGGGGTGGCAGGAGGGGTTCGGGCCGGATCTTACATAGCCATAGGTGAGGTTCCCTTTGGGCACGCCAGCAACGAAGTCTGCGAAGAGAGGAGGAAGTTGGGCCTGTCTGAGGGCGAGGCAA